TGTTTTCCTTGAAGGGCAACATGTGAAGGTGGGGGAGGCTAGGGTTTCTTTTCCCTTTTTCTCTTTTTGTTTTAGTTTCCAAAGAGTTAGGGGATTTAGGGATTTGTTTAATCCAACACATGCCCTATCCTTGGATAAAATTTGGGCCTTTAGGAAAGCCCACTTAACTAATAATTTTGTTGAAAGAAAACAAGACCCATGGATCCAAAGGATTAAAATTCTAGTTCTCACCTTCCTATACTTAATTAGTTCCACTAATAGAAATAAGCAATCGGCCCAACGACTCAGGATAAATGCCACAGAAAACAAACTCTTTGTCAACAACAATTAAATACATACATAAAAACCAATAACTCACAACAATTACGGCAGTAGTTCAAAATAACTAACATAGAGCAATTAAATTAATTTAAACTAATTTCTAAAAAAGAACCCCTGGGACTAGAGGGTAACTTGACTTGAGTAATGCAGGGCGTTACAGATTTCCCTCCTTCAAAAACTTTCGTCGTCTAAAGTTCGTTGATCGAACAATTCCGGGTAGCGGGCTCTGATCTCGTCCTCCCTTTCCCAAGTAGCCTCCTCCACTTGGTGATTCCTCCACCGGACCTTCACCAAGTTAATCGACCAATTCCTCAGCACCTTGGTCTCTTTTGCTAGGATCTCAATGGGTACCTCTCTATAGCACAAGGTTTCATCCAACTGGAGTGGTTCGGAATCCAAGACATGCGAAGGGTCATGGACATATTTCCTCAGCATGGACACATGGAACACGTTATGCACTGCCTCCAACGACGGTGGCAAGGCCAACCTATAAGCGACTGAGCTAATGTGCTCTAAGATCTCAAAAGAACCAATATACCTCAGACTAAGTTTTCCCTTCTTACCGAAGCGTAGGATTCCCTTCACCGGCGCCACAAGAAGAAAAACATGGTCACCCATGCCGAACTCCAATGCCCTTCTCCTAAGATCAACGTAACTCTTCTTTCTGCTTTGAGCCGTCTGAATTCTTGCCCTAATCCTATGGATTGTGCTGTTAGTCTCCTGCATCAACTCTGGTCCCAATAGGACTCTCTCATCGACCTCATCCCAATGTACCGGCGATCTGCACTTCTTCCCATACAAAGCTTCATATGAAGCTATTGCGATTGTCGCGTGGTAGCCGTTGTTGTAAGCAAAATCTATCAAGAACAGGTGTTTGTCCCAATAACCACCGAAGTCTAATATGTAGGCTCTCAACATGTCTTCCAAAATCTGATTCAGACGTGCAGTCTGCCCGTCGGTCTGGGGGTGCAACGCCGTACTAAAATCTAGCTGAGTCCCTAGTGCTTTATGCAAGCTTCACAAAAAGTTGACGTGAAACGGGGGTCCCAGTCCGATACTATGTACACTGGTGTGCCATGAGGCCTAACTATTTCTTGCAAGTAAATCTCCACCCACCTTTCTACTGAATAAGTGGCCTTGCCTGGCATGAAATGAGCAGACTTCGTTAAGCGATCCACAATCACCCAAATCACTGTGTATCCTTTAATCGTTCTCGGCAACCATGTAATAAAGTCCATGGCCACGTCGTCCCATTTCCATATAGGTATCCTTAAAGGTTGCAACAACCTGGCGGGTCTATGTCTCGAGGCCTTCACCTATTGACACGTCAAGCACTTACTAACAAACTTGGCAATTTCTCAGTTCATGTTGTGCCAGCAATAGTGTTCATTGAGATCTCTATACATCTTGGTGCTCCCAGGATGCACTGAGAAGGGGGTATTGTGAGCCTCGGTTAGTAAATTCTTCCTTAAAGGGAAATCTCTTGGTACGCACAATCTTCCCTGATAGAGCAAGGCCGCATCTTCTGATAGAGAGTAATCTCCTTGACCCACCACACAGAAACCTCTGATTAAGTTGAGATCCCCCTTTTGTGCAACGATGATCTGCTGTCTTAAGATGGGTTCAACTGAGAGTTGAGCTAACATTACCGACACATCTTCCACCGCTAACTCCACTTCAGAACGGTCCAACTCAAATAATACCGGCCTATGATGCACTATCGGAGGTGCTACGCTCGTCGCTCTTCTACTAAGTGCATCGGCCACCACGTTCGCCTTACCCAGATGGTAATTGATCTCACAGTCATAGTCTTTTACTAGTTCTAGCCATCGCCTCTACCTTAGGTTAAGTTCTTTCTGAGTCAAGAAATATTTCAAACTTTGATGGTTAGTGAATATTTGGATTCTTTCTCCATACAGGTAGTGTCTCCATATCTTCAAGGCAAACACCACTGCTGCCAGCTCCAAATCATCGGTGGGATAGTTAAGCTCGTGTGCCTTTAACTGTTGCGAGGCATAGGCAATGACTTTCCCATGCTGCATCATAACTCAACCCAAACCTCTCCGTGAAGCATCACTGGACACCACTACACCTTCAGTCCCATCTGGTACCGTTAGCACCGGGGTCGTGACCAGTCGCTCCTTTAGTCCCTAGAAACTCTTCTCACACTCGTCGCTCCAAGCAAAAGTGGCATTTTTACAGGTCAACTTTGTCAAAGGCGCTGCCAATAGAGAAAAGTCTTGGACGAACCTTCAATAATAGCTAGCCAATCCGAGAAAACTACGAATTTCGATCACTGTGCGAGGCCTTGGCCAACCACTGACCGCTTCTACTTTGGCTGGGTCCACGACAATACCCTCCTTAGTGACTATGTGGCCAAGGAAAGCCACCGTATCCAACCAAAACTCGCACTTTGAGAACTTTGCATACAGACTGTTTCCCCTCAAGGCGATAAAGACCAGTCGTAGATGCCCTTCGTGCTGCTCTACTGTCTTGGAGTAGATCAAAATATCGTCAATAAACACAATCACGAACAGGTCCAAAAATTCCTTAAAAACTCGGTTCATGAGGTCCATGAAAGCCGCAGGGGCATTAGTGAGTCCAAAAGACATTAGAGTAAACTCAAAATGTCCATACTTGGTCCTGAATGCTGTCCTTGGTATGTCTGTGTCGTTAATCCTCAATTGGTGGTATCCCGATCGTAGGTCTATTTTTGAGAACACCCTTGCTCCCTTTAGTTGGTCAAAGAGGTCATCGATGCGAGGGAAAGGGTACCTATTCTTTGTCGTCACCTTGTTCAACTCTCGATAGTCCACGCAAAGTCGTTTAGATCCATCCTTCTTTTTCTCAAAAAGCACTGGAGCACTCAAGGAGACACACTCGGGCGAATGAAACCCTTGTCTAAAAGCTTTTCTAGCTCTGCCTTAACCTCCTTAATTTCTGCCGGAGCTATACGGTACGGTGCCTTCGAAATGGGGACTATCCCAGGCAACAAGTCGATGCAAAAATCTAGTTTGCGGACCGGGGGTAGCCCTATAGGATCTTCAGGGAACACATTCGAGAACTCGTTCACCACGTGAATGGAGTCGATGCTGGGTGTAGTCTTACTAGTGTCGACGACGCTTGCTAAATAACCCCAAACACCACACCGTAAGAGGCGTCTTGCCTTTAGCGTCGAGACTGTCATTGGAGCTCCACCCGTAACTCCTTTAAACGTGAAGCCTTGACCCAAAGGTAGTTGGAAGAAGACTTCCCTTTACACACAATTAATGTTGGCTTGGTTGGTAGCCAGCCAATCCATGCCCAAAATAACATTAAAATCCTGCATGTCCAGTTGGATCAAACTTGCCCCACGGTCTGATTGCCGAAGGATAACTCGCTTGCTTTCACTATTTGACTAGCAATCATCACTGACCCCGATGGCGTGGATACCCACAACAAAAACCTAACGGCTCTCGTTTGAGGTTTGCTTGACGAACAAACGTGGTGGAAATAAATGTGTGACTTGACCCTGAATCAAACAATACGTAAGCAGGCACATTATGGACTAAGACCGTACCTGAAAGATAATACAAGGATAAAGATATAACCCCATATGCAATACCCAAGAACCCTTAGTAAGAAAGAAATACCTGTGACAACGGCTTCGGCATTCGCCGCTTCCTTGCGGGTAAGTGCAAAACCACGAGCATTCTGGTTATCCCCCTGCGTAGAGACTGTCGAGGGGGCCTTCTGACCTAGCCTCTGTGTATTCTAAGCCGACATGGGACACCCCCTCGCAAAACGCTCTTCTCTCCCGCACCTGAAACAGACCTTGGTTCCAGTCCAACACTGCTCCGCATGTCTTCTCTAACAGAAAGGACACACTGGTAGCTTGCTCTGCTACTGAGCCTGGTACTGAGGTACTCTAAATGGCTGGTCGGCATAATTCCTCTTCACACCTGAAGACGAACTGACTTCCAGTAGAGGTTGGGCCTTGCTAGTAACATCCTTGTCCATAATTAAGGCGCCCCTAACTGCTTCCGCATAGGAGGCGGGTGGCTGAAGATCCACTGGTGCTCTGATCCCTTTGCGTAAACCTTTAAAAAACCTCTTGATTTTCACTGCCTCGGTGGGAATGAATTCCAGAGCAAAACAGGAGAGTTCCGTAAACTTCCTTTCATATTGCGATGGAGAAACTCTGCTTCTTTCGTATCGTTCACAGTCTCTGGAAAAAAATAGTCGTACAACAAGTCCTTAAACCTTGCCCACGTGATCGGTACGTTAGCGAGGTCTTCCGCCGTTGCTATTGAGTCCCACCAATTTAGGGCCTCACCCCTCAACATAAAGACCGCACCCTTAACCTTGAACTGGTCCGCGCAACCTAGGTACACGTAAAAAGCTTCCAACTCTCTGACCCACTCTTCTGATGCTGTCGCTTTCTCACTTCCTCCGTCAAAGGTGGGGGGTCCGTAATGCTTAAAATCCTTAATGAATTGGGCCTCGCCTTGAGGAGCATGAAAATGTGGGGGTGGCAGAGCTTGTACTAGGGGTGAGCATCGGCCGGTCGGGGTCGGTTTTTTGCCAACCTCGACGCTGAAAACCGACATAGTCAGTTTCGATCGGTCAGAGACTTTTTCTTTTTACCTCTGTGTACAAACCGATCGTTTAACCGACCGTTCAGTCGGTTAATTTGGTCGGTTCTTAGAAGAAATTAGAATTGTTAAAAATGTGTGTTGTGTGATTGAAATGCAGGGAAGAAAAATAAGAACGGTAAAGGGTAGAGTCGAAGACAGGAAGAAGAAGAACATGGAGGAAAGAAGGGAAGAAAGGTGGAAAGAGAAAACATAAATGAAAAGAAGAAATGGTATAAGATAAAGAGTGATAAGTAAAAAAGAGAAAGAAGGAATGAGATAAGAGGTAGAAATTAAAATTGAAGGAATGGCTACTAAAGAGCCACGTAGGTTGGAGAAGAAAAATGGGTAAAAACGTAAAATATAATAATAAACAAATAAAAGTATATAAAAACTTATATAGATTTTTTTTTCTTTTCCATTTTTCCAACCACGTGGCTTTCTATAAGTCATTTCGTCTTTCATTTCAATTTATTTTTCCCCCTCTTTTTCCCCTTTCTTTTTCTTTCTCCTACCTTCTCTTTCTCACCTTCTCTCGTTTATTCTCTTCACCTCTTACTCCCTTTCTTCTTTTGCATTCCATCTACTCTCATTTACCATTTTTTCTTTGTTTCATCTCTTACAACTCTCTCATGGAATGCTGTAATGGAATTTTATTATTATTATTTTTTAATAAGTCGGTCGGTCGGTTCCTTTGATATTGGAAGAGTCAACCAACCGACTTGTCAGTTTTTCACTATGAAAAATTGACACCGACCGATTCATCTTTTAAACTGATCGATCGACGTCGGTTCGGTCGATTTTGATCGGTCGGATTGGTTTGTCCTTTATCATTGATAAAACTGATCAATGATAAAGGAACTAACTCAATTATGCATGAGAACTCCCTTATACAAGGTGAACCCCCACAACAATAATAAGAATAACCCCAATAACAAGTTGATGAATCAACCCCAAGAAGGCTAAACAGATTTGCGCTTGGAAAAGATGATCAATGATCAAGAATAAAGGAGAACTTGTTCCTATATTCAAGATTTCAAACTCTCCACAACCTAATGGATCAAACTAGATTGAAAGTTCTAAAACATGCATTCTAGCACAAGAATACAAAGAAAGCTTAAAAGCTTGAGAGAGACTAAACTTAATCTGAATTTTTCATTCATCAAAATGTTGTCTTTGAAAAGCAAATGTACATCCCTATTTATAGTAAAAAGACATAATGAAAAGACACAACCCTTGGATGAAAAGACACAACCCTTGAAAAATACATAATAAATTAAATATGTGGACGAATCTGGATTTTAGATTCATGAAGTTTCTTGGAGGACAAGATGTCTTTTCAAGCTTGAAGGGATGCAACTCTTCACCAAGTGTGAACACCTTAGCTTGGAAGTGACCATTCAACCCTTCTTGTAGTCTTTTAGCACTAGCTCTTGTGATTGGACCTTGTGGCATAATGATTGGCTCATGATTGGGTTGACTTTGAGCATAAGCTTCATTTGAGCTTATTTGAGCTTGTTCCTCTGTAAGTTTTTCCCGTGCACTCCGTGATCACTCATTTCTATATCATGTTGTTAGGAACAGTCGTGAAGGATTGACTTACCATTAATGGTCAAAATCCATGGATGCAAAATATTCTACAATGAGAAGAGTGCAACTGTGGGTCTTTAGTGGAGTGACCGACAGTTAACGAATGTTGATTAATATGGTTAATGAGTTTAATCAATTAATCTCGTATCGTTAGAGCTTTCGATCTGTAGATCCATTAGGTCCCCTTGCTAGTTCGTAAAGGATAGTTAAGAACAGTTAGTCTTGAAAAGAATTTGAATGGTTCAAATTAGTTAAAGGGAATTAAGGTTAATTGAGATGCAATTAATATAATGTATGTTGATACATTATAATATAAAGTTAATTTTGAGTTGGATTCAAAATTATGAGAGAGATGAATATTAGAATTTGATTCTAATAGTTGATAATTTAAGTTTAACTTAATTAAATATGATTTAATTAAATTAATTAGATATATTAATTTGGTCAAATTAAATTATATTTAATTAATTATCATTTTAATTAAAATAAAAGGAAAAAAAGAAAAGAAAAAAAAAAGGAAAGAAATGGGAGGAAAACCTCCCATGGTGGGAAGTGGGGAGATTTTCCCACTTCGGTGGGAGAGTGGTGAGTGCGGAAGTTGTGACTTCCCCACCACTCTTCCTCCCTTATAAAAAGAAAGGTTCTCCCCTTCCTTTCACCCTGGTTCGATAGTAGTTGAGTTTTCGAAACTCCAAACGAGAAATTTGTCTCTCGATCTCTCGATCTCCCTTTCAATTATAAGATCGTTACCACAAACTGAGTTCTTAAGATCCAGAGGATAGCGAGGAAGACTTTGTGGTGGCGTTGGTGTCTACATTAAAAAGGTGTCTTCAAAGGTATGTATCACTAACTTTCTTCTATTCATGCTTATATGTCTTTTCTTTGTTGTAATTCTAAAACAAGATCAAAGCACACGCGTTTGCACGCTTCTGCTGCGCGATCCGATCCCTTCACTATCCACCCCACATCTCGAATGACTGTGTGCCCCACCCAGTCTGGATCGAAGTTTGCTTAATTTCACAAACCAATTCGGTTAACACAGGGATAAGTGGGGCTACAGAAATGCTCCTACTTCAGCAGTTTGGCTCAATCTCTCACGAACTGTGGCATATTCTCTACCTTGAAGCCTTTCTTAAGATAAAGGTCCCTCACCTTTATTTCACTGTAGTTTGTCTTGGTCACTAGGTCCACCAAGTTCCAGTACATCGCTTGGTGTAGTAGCACCACGTTTATCATCTTCTTCACACCGGATGTTGGCGGGACCTGCAAAACAGAAGAGTGAACAATGCACCGGTTCCCCTAAGGCTGGGAAGCTGTCTTTTCCTACTTTTTTTTCGAAGGTACGGGCTGTGAGGTGCTGGAGGCCTTCGACTTCTTGGTTGGGCGAAGATAGGGCAAATGAGGATGGGGCCGCTTGCTTTTTTGAGTACGTGAGGCGGGCCTAGAAGCGGAGGTGCTTTTGGGAGCCACCGGTGGGTGGATTTCTTTAACTACAATGGGGGAGATGAGGGTCGGCTGAGATTGAGTGGTTGTAAAAGTGTTTTGGGTGGGAGTGGATGTTGGGACTTTCTGTACCCTTAAAAAGATTAGAGACTCGTGCAAGCGCACACGGTCACAAGTAATACTCGAAAGTAATCCAAGGTCGAATCCTTAGGGACTCGTTGCTTTCAAAATCAAGTGATGCAGTGAAATGGTTCAAATATGCATTTGTGGTTTATGAAAGAAATAGTGGTGAAATGTTGTTGTTTGGGGTTTTAACTAGTAAGCGATTTTATAAAACTCAACCTCCTTGCTTCCTACCATAGACTTGATGCAAAACATGGAAAACACACTATGTTAGGGAAATTACGCCAGACGCAATTCATGACTTTTCTTGGGATTCGAGTTCTACTCTTTCACTACTGCTTTTAGTTGCTGTAGAGGCTAGGGTAACCTACAATCATATACCTACGTGTGATTACAATCCTAGAGAATATCTACCAACTCACTTGCATTATGGGTCAGAGGGTCTATGTTTAGGACCATATTTTATGCGTTTATGCCAAAGTCACATCCCATATTTGTTTCCTATTATTTTACCTAACTCACCTTTCCCAAGGTTGTGCTTTGGTGTATAAATCAAGTTCACACTGGCCAAATGGAAAAAGGACATAAAGAGAAATTTTTAGAAACCAATCTAAAAAGGTGCCAGGCGCAATTATGGACAAATATCGAGCGTGTTGAAAATCAAATTATTTTGACTAAGGCATTCCACAAAGAGGTTTATAATTAATTTAAATCATAATTAAAGGAAAGTAAATGCATGAAAACATAAAGAAAGTATTTTTCATTGAATTTAAACGAATAAGTCGTACAATGAGTTCTAGCTTGACCTTCTTCTCTTTCGAGCGTGAGGGGAGTTGAAGCTCTCTAAAAAACATTAAAAGAACAGAATGAACAAAGAACGGAAGTAAGAACTTGAATGAAAAACAATACAAAAGGTAAAAGCGTGAAAAACAAAGAAATGAACAACTAGAACATAAACATAAACCCTAAAAACGTGTTCTACACCTAGAGAGCAACTAAAAGAAGATGAAATGAAGCTTGGAAGGGATGCAATTCTGTTAGAGGGATGGCTTCCTTTTATAGCACCATAGGTTGGTTGAAACTCCCGTCCATTTTAGGTGGAAATTAAAGCCTCCAACATTCTTTAAAGTAAAATCAGTAGGAGGGAAGTTTGTACATTAGTGTCATGTTTACTTTTCAGTTTTTTTTATTATGTCCTTAACGTTTTAATAATTTGATTTTCTTAGTACAAGATTGGATTTCCCAAGAAAATAAGCAAGGTACAAGGCAAAGAGCAGTGAGCATTATTCCATAAGAATGAACAAAACAAGACTTAAATATGGAATGCTTAGAAAAAGCACCACTTTGTGGTCCTTTTTTGTTTTACTCGTCGTATTAATCAAGGAAGTTTTTTAACCCTTGTTTCATTGTTGACAGAATGTTGTTTTGTTCATTTGTGCTTAGTCATGATATTTTCTAGGTAGAAGTATTTGCATCAGTTGGATAGCATGCTGATATGTTTTGTGGATAACATCATGTTTAGTCTTACAAGTTAGGGTCATATAAGCATTGACCCTAGGCTCCTTATCATACTCCATGCCTTGTTTGCTACTGCTAAAACTACTATCTATTTGTTAAGCATGTGTAATCATAAAAAAAATTGACCCTAGGCTCCTTATCATACTCCATGCCTTAGCTTCTTCAAGGCATATTTTCTAAACTCTCAACATGTTCATCTTTTTAATGAAATGCTTTCTTTTGTTTTTTGTTTTTGTATCATGTCGATGAGGATTCTTAAGGGCGTGAATAGGTTATATTTCCTCGTTTTATGATCAAGCAAT